TCCACTCCACACCTTCATTAATAACTAGTAATTTTTTTTATGTATGGCTAGACTTCACATTTCAAAAAATGTAATTACATGACTCAATAAGTATGTAAGTAAAGAAGATTGGCATTACTTAAATAGAAACAGTTATTTGTTTGAAGAATCTGTTTAGATAGATACAGTCTATCACAAAATAGACTTGTTTAAGGTTATGTAAAGTTATAATAAAAATTATTACAAAAAAAAAAAGATATAATAAAAATACTCACACAAAAAAAAGTTATGATAAAAATGTAGTTTCCTCTAAATATGTCCTTATACGTATCTCAACTTTTCATTTAAGCTTAAACCGTGCACGTATACTTAAAGAATTATTCTTTGTTTAAAAAGCCTCTTTTAAACGAAGTTAAAAATAAAAGAGGGTTAAATTCTTTTACTTCAGGTTGATGAAATTAAATATAAAATATGTTGGGTTCACATATTAACAAATTATAGGATAACCATGCGTTAAAAGATAATTTTATCTCAGATACTAAATTATAACTGTATAAGATGGATCAATGATTATAAAGGAAGAGAGAAAAAAAAAGAGAATTATAACCATTCAAATATTAATCAATTTGTTATCAAAAAAAAAAAATATTAATCAATTAATATAAGAAAATAAATAAACAAAACTACGTAGTTTTGAGATGGATGGAAATAAATATATTTCAAATAGCTTAAGAATACCATTAGATCATAATCTTAATTAACATTTATTTTTCTCTTTTCTCTTCAGATTATTATTTAATGGTGTTTTAGAATGATAGGTAAAATAATATATCTTTTTTATATATATATATATATATATATATATATATATATAGGGTTCATATTTTCTTATGTTGAAGGAGAGAAAAAAAGTAGAAATAAGTTAAACATGGATTCCACATTTTATATTAAAAAAGAAAAAAAAATTAATTAACACGAAAAATAAATTTGTATAGGAAAAAGTTCTACTCTCCTATAGCACAGGAGAATATGATTTCCGATATATATGTACATATATAATTATGAAAGTGATATAGTTTGATTACTTTTGATCATGGAACCCCACAAACGTACCATGTGTCATGATCATCTGATTGACATGCATATGTCATGTTAATTTGAGGGTTTCACATATTTAAGAGCGATTAAACAATATCATTTTAATAAATATTTTTAAATTATATTATTTTAATATATTTTTTAAATATATCACTTTGATCAATCAGCCAACTGTTACTCAAAAACTCTATCATATAATAGACTTGTGTAAGTTATGCTAAAACTACACTTAGCTTAGGGCTCTTTGACCGACGTGAGATTTTTATTCCTTTAATTTTTTAATTTGATATTTTATTCATGATATTTGTGAATTTATAAAAAAGTGAAATTATTGTTGTAAATTTTAACTATGTTAATGAAAGATGAAATATGTTAAATGAGATGTCATTGTGTAGATATCAAAAAGTTATGTGAAATAAAAAAAATTATCTGATTTGGATACCTGAGTCAAAAGTTATGACTTTATGAAGTTTTACGGTAACGGAACTAATGAGGGTTGCGGGACTCAGTGAGTTTCCCAAGGGAGGGGGCGTCACTTAATTAAAAAAATAAAAAAATAATAAAAGAAGTGTCAGTGACGCAAGAGGAGGATTGCGGGACTCAGTGACGCCGGATCCTCTTTGCGTCACTAAACAACCTCCATTAATAAATACCATAAATCAAATACAAATTGATAAATTAATGGGTTTTATGTTTATCATTTAATATAATATAACTTCACTTTCCTACCCACACATTAAAGAGGTGGGTCCACATGTTTTTATTTCTCTTTCATCATTCTACTTTCTCTCTCCATTTTGATGTGAGAGTTGGAAACAACACTTACATCATATTACATAACACTAATAAAACCCTAAATTAATAGCTCAAAAAACCCCGATGGGTCAAAACTACTTTTGTTATATAATTCAAATACTGGGTATCGTATAATTTTACATAACTCAACTTTCTATGTTAACGTTTTTAGGAAACCTTGTTATATAAAAAGTACTTTTATCCCAAAAGTTCTTTTCTTAAAAAAATTAAGATATACGTACAAAAGTAAGTTAAATTTTTTTAATTGAGGGTGAGAAAACTAAAGTATGCTAGGTTCACATTTATATTAATGGAGTTTGCATTTGTCATTTAACATGACACAACAAATTTTCCTATACACACAACATTTTGTGAGGCTCACACTTTTTGAAGAAAAAAGAAAAAAAAAGAAAAAGAAATTATGGCACGCAAAACGAATCCCTATAACATTACACAATCACTTTTCCTACAACATAACTCTTAAAAAACCCTATATTAATATCAAGGAATCGATGAATGTGACAAGAAGAATGCGTTAAACATATATAATTTTACAAATATATAGTTATACTCAATCATTAAAACATGTACACAAGCGCGTTAAACTTAAACCTATACAATATATATATATATATATATATATATATATATATATATATATATATATATATTGAAAAAATGAAAATAAAGTGACTGGACGGTCCAGTGCATTCAATTTACTATAACGCGTTAAAGTTAAACCTATATTATATATATAAATATTATAATAGTGTTTTTCCGGGAGAACATAATTATAATATTTACTATATTTGTGTTCTTGCAGGAGAACTTAGAACTTAGTGCACTGGATCAAATTTTATATCCAGTCACTATACACTCACTAAATTATATATATATATATAGGTAGGATCTTTTGACACCTCATCTGAGAGCCGTTAGATAAAAAAAGATCAATGGTTTCACATGCTTACAAATCAGAGTCGTTGATCTTTTTTTGATCTAATGACTTTCAGATGAGGTGTCAAATTTCAAATTTGACACTGGTGTCAAAGGATCTTATCTCTATTTATATATGGGGAAGGATCTGTTTACAAACTTTTTTTTGAAATTTTTTACAAAGTACACTATGTTCTCCCGGAAGAACATAGTGTAGTTTGTAAACAAAAAATTTTGTAAATATAACCTGCCCATATATATATATATATATATATATATATATATATATATATATATATATATTGGGAATTGATAGTAATTAATAAGTTTAATTCTCAATAAATGATAACCGTTGATTGACGGAAATCGACGGTAAAGATTTGGTGTCAAATTTCAAAATTTGACACCGGTGTCAAAGGATCCTGCCTCATATATATATATATGGTAAAATTATTTTGCAGTCGCTTTACGTACAACAACGGCAGGTGTATGGTTATGATTCCTCACATTTAATGCTTTCATTCTTTGTATGGTTATGATTCCCCACATTTAATACTTTCAAGTATATATATGACAAGTATTTGACTGTTGCACGTACAGCTGCTGCAAAAATATAAACCCCTACATATATATATATATATATATATATATATATATATATATATATATATGAGGTAAGATCCTTTGATATCAGTGTCAAATTTGAAATTTGACACCTCATCTGAGAGCCATTAGATCAAAAAAGATCAATGATATCACATGTTTACAAATCAGAGTCGTTGATTTTTTTTTTGATCTAATGACTCTCAGATGATGTGTCAAATTACACTGGTGTCAAAGGATCCTACCTCTATATATATATATATATATATATATATATATATATATATATATATATATATAGGCAGGATATTCTTACACCGGTGTAAGAGTTAGAAGTCTTATACTTAATCTTGACCATTTATCCACTTGTATCCAATGCCTCACATTACTAAAAAATTTGAGCCGTTAGATATAATTGGAATCAACGGATAAAAGTGTAACTTACACTGGTGTAAAATGATCTTGACACACATATATATATAGGGTTTAGTGAATGTACAGTGACTGGATATAAAATTTGGTCCAGTGCACTATGTTCTTTCGGGAGAACACAGTTATAGTAAATATTATAACTATGTTCTCCCGAGAGTACACCATTATAATATTTAGTATATTATGTTCTCCCTGAAGAACATAATACACTGGACTGTTCAGTCACTGAATTTTTATTTTTCCCATATATATATATATATATATATATATATTTATATATATACACACTAAGACTGAAATGCAAGAATCTCGCCTCCGCCACACAAATTCAAAACAAACAAACAAACTATAAATTATTTTTGTGGGATAAAAGTTATCTTAAAAACATAGTAGAGAGAGTTTTGTCTCCCTTGATGGTCATGTTTACCTTAAATCGGATTAGTTGAGTAAAAATAAACCGATAAATAAAGTAAAACAAGAGCTAGCATAGGTTAAGAGACAAACTAACAGAAATTAATGGAGGATTAAGGAAAGTTTTTGAAAACTTTATGATCGTGATCGTCAGAGTCTCAGATAACAGATGCCAGTGAGAAATGGCTTAGTTCTAGTGGTGTTTTCGATGCTCACATGCCCACAAGATCTATCAAGTGTCTACACATTCTCTTTCTCTCCAGAGATGATTATCTATCTATCAAGTGCCCCACTTCCCTAACTCTAACAATGTAGAACTTGAAACAATTACATGACATTACCTGCTGTACACTACCCATACCCCTAGTTTTGCATTATCTCAGTAACGTTAAAAAGACCTTACAACTTATGACCCCCCCCCCCCCCCCCCCAAAAAAAAAAAAAAAAAAAAAAAAAAAAAAAAGAAAAAGAATCTTGCAAGTTAGCATCATATGGAGTAGAATACAGAAAGTGGACGCTGATTCCACCACGTACGTACGTTTTTGCTATATTTTATTGAGCAGATTCTTTTTGTATTATAATTGCTCGCTCTTCGAGTGTGTGTATAAATAGAGAAGAAATCCTCACCAGCGTCAGCACCTGCATGAGATTTAGGGGTTGAGTTCCGAAGAAAGTTAAGGTTTCAGGTCCCCTGCCCCTAATTCTTTTGTAGTTGTTGTTTCCCAAGTCAATAAACAGAGAGCATCATGGCTATCAGTCACAATACTTTGGCTTTTACCTTTGGCATGCTAGGTACGATCAATTACCTCCGGTCCCTTTTCTTAATTTAATGCTACGAATATGTTCTTATCTTTTATTTCTCTTGTTCTAGTCCAATACAAACTCTAGAAGCAAATGTGCATGTTTACCATTTATGTTCCTTCATTCCCCTTTCCGGTTCACAATTTTTTTAAAAGAACTTTAGTAAATATTAGCTAGACTGGTCAATCTACACATGTCGATAATTTAGACACATCACACAAAGTTGTTACCAACCACCACATGATAGTGTCCCCTGTTTCGCCTTCGACCAATCTATATGTCCTTCTTCCCTTGATATAATATTCATAACCTCTAATATATTTTGCACTAAACAAAGGAATTAATATATTCTCCTTTTGATGCACAGGAAATGTTATTTCGTTCTTGGTATTCTTGGCTCCAATGTAAGTATTTATATCTATCAATCAACTCTTGTTACTTCCACTTAATTGATGAGGTTAAAAAAGAAAAAGAAAAAGAGAATAACGGATTTTAGTTAATAGTAATTATTATTAATAAAAAATATATATATATATTACTTTCCTTAAATATTGCAGTTCAACATTTTACCGAATATACAAGAAGAAATCGACGGAGGGTTTTCAATCACTGCCTTACCTGGTGGCGCTGTTCAGTTCCGTGCTTTGGTTATACTATGCTTTACTCAAAAAAGACGCTTTTCTCCTCATTACCATCAACTCATTTGGATGTGTGGTAGAGATCATTTACATCATCTTGTACATCACCTATGCGCCCAGGGATGCTAGGGTAACTATGTCCAAATACAATCTTAATTAATCTCATGAAACATATACGTACATACATTAATCTTGCTAATTATTTAAATAATTGAGTATAGCTATATATATATATATATATATATATATATATATATATATATCTTTCTCTTTCCAATTTGATACTAAAATGTCTTCGTTAATTAACTGCAGAACTTAACTTTAAAGTTATTTTCGGCAATGAACGTGGGCTCCTTTGCTTTGATCCTCTCAGTCACACACTTCGCCGTGCATGGTCCCCTTCGTGTCCAAGTTCTTGGGTGGATTTGTGTTTCCATTTCTGTCAGTGTCTTTGCAGCCCCACTTAGCATTGTGGTACGCGAAAATCCCTATAGTCATTGAGCTTATAAAATTAACGTATATATAGTATATTCTTCAACTGCTTGGCACTCCCGGCCACATGATCTTATTTTCTTGCTTTATGCAGGCACAAGTTGTTCGGACAAAGAGTGTAGAGTTTATGCCCTTCAATTTGTCATTCACACTCACATTGAGTGCCGTTATGTGGTTTGGTTACGGTCTCTTTCTCAAGGACATATGCATTGCTGTAAGTGTTATTGTACCAGTACAACTGAATCAGTTTAATATTCCAACCAAGCTAATTATTTAATTAATGAATCAGCCACTGACAAAATTAATTTTCCTTTTGTTGTGTAGCTACCAAATGTGCTGGGTTTTGCACTGGGATTACTTCAGATGCTGCTCTATGCCATTTACAGGAATGGCAACAAAAAGGTTATTACAAATGAAAAGAAGCAACCGCTAGAGCCACTCAAAAATGTTGTTATAGTGAGCCCGTTGGGAAATAGTGAGGTGTTCCCGACTGAGAAAAATGTACAAGGAAAGAATAAGAGCGAAGAAGATACCAAGGATAAGGGAAAAAGTGAAGAATCTGACGCCTGCGCAGTCTAAATGCGCGTGTCTGTTATTGTTTCGTGAGCACTTTGATGGCCACTTTAACTTACTGCTCTAATTTTCTTCCATTAAGTTTTAGCTACGTACCTACATGTGCTAGTGATTCTATCTTTCAAGTTTAACCACATTGAATCTTGCATTATAAATATTTCCATCCATCAGTAATGCTTGACGTTAACTACATGTGCTAGTAATTTTATTTTTTCAAAAACGTTTTTGAAATAATAAAATTACTTGATGCACTTTTCTCTTGACAAAACAGTAATTCATATATAACATAACCAAACAGGCAATGATTCATTTATAATTTTTTTTTTTTTATAAATTTTTACAAATGATAGTATATAGTGTACTCTAGTGTATTTCTAAAAATACATAATATAGTTTATAACATTTTATAAATAAAAAATTTGTAAATATAATCATTTCTTAATCAAATAGACAAACTCTTTCAAAATCTCGTGCTCGCTAAGATGATCAACAACTGATACATCACTTTAAATTAAAATTATTGTGCGCTATGAAGGTTCATAATTTTTTTTTCATGTTCATTGGCTTCATGTAAACAACTCGTTTACATTAAGGGTTGAAAGACTTTTCCAAAAAAAAAAAAAAAAAAAACTTATGAGTGATTATTTTGTATCGTTAACAGATGTATTTAAAATTAAATAATGATAAATAAGTAAAAAGTAATGTTGGGTATTCAATGTGAGAAATAAAATTCCATATTAATTAAGAATGAACTAAATAAAAACTATATAAATGAAATGACTCATAATTTCATTGTCTTAAATTTTAAGTTGAGTTATATATAACTGTAAATTTATGAAACTAGTAGTGCATAATACTAAACCTTAAAACACCATAATACTAACAATGGAAATGGCAATTGTGGCGAAAGCAGTTTGTTGTATTATTCCGTGGTTCAAAATATTAATTTGTTATTTTAAGAAATATATTTAAGTTTAACTTATCTATATCCATTTAAAAAACCAATTAAGTATTATAATTTTTTTTCCAAACTTTATCTTCATATATTATTTAGGGCACATTTGGTGCACAAGATAAAGGCTGATAGTATAAGATATGATAATATAAGGTCCAATTGTATAAGACCAGAATAAATTTTAATTATCCAACGTTTGACATAACATTGTATAAGATAATGTATTATATAAGATAATATTATTCAATATTTGATAATGCACTGTATAATAGTAAATAGTTTAAAAATAAATATTTTTGATAAAAACACCCTTTAATAGAGAATTTATATAATTCTTTCAAATATGCCATATAATATTAATTTTTATAAAAAAATCTATCGATATAGTAAGTTCAAAAAATATATTAATTTTCTTAAAAATAAAAATCTTCAGTATTTAAAAAAAATTCATGACTACTATATAAATAATAGAGTATTAAACAATAACTAATATTTTAATTTTTCTTCTACTTTTTTTTTCTATTTAAAATAGAAAAAAGCTCTTCCTTGCGTCTGTTGTGAACGTTATAATGCTACCATCTCGCCATCTCTTTGTCACTCTATTCACACTCTCAGTCTAACACTGATGATACTTTAGGTATTTTAATAAAACAATTTAGTCCAATGTAGTTATATTTTCTTGTAATCAAACTTAGTTAATAACTCTGAATCATTATTAATTAATTACATTTAATGTCATATATGTTAAAATGAGTATGTTGAACAATAAATACTTATAACGCATTTCTTTTTTTTTTACCTTGTACGTGTTTATATCTAAGACACACTGCTCGCGTACACAAACACGAATGTCAAGTTATAGTCTTCTTTCCATTTCCTTATTACCCCTCCGATCCGATCCTAGTTTATTGTTTTATTTATAAGTCACTTTATAAAATTATTACTATCTTTTTTTAACTTTTATATATATATATATATATATATATATATATATATATATATATATATATATGGGCTTAGTAAGTATCAAGTGACTGGATGTAATTTTGGTCCAGTGCACTGTATTCTCCCGCGTATTCTCCCGCGAGAATATAGTGCAAAAAATATTATAACTATGTTCTCCTGGGAGAACACCTGAAGAACACCATTGTAATATTTTTGCACTATATTCTCGCGGGAGAATATAGTCACAATACATTCACTGGACAGTCCAGTGACTGAATTTTGGATTTTTCGTATATATATATATATAAGCATTGGCGGACTCAGAAAACAAAATTATGTGTGCACACTTAAGGTGGGGTTCGGGAGCAGCTCCCCCGAAGATTTTTTTAAAGAAAATTTTAAATGTATTAATTGTAGGGGTTAATTGATCAAAAATCTACCTCTATTGATGTCTATTTGATCCAAAGTTGACCACTTTTGCTTCACAAAAAAACGTGAAAAATCCCATGCAATTCTCCTCCATTTGATGAAGATTGAATTTCATGAATCATTGATGTCCATTAAAGTTTGGAGCTAATAAGGTTTATGTTTCAAAAAAAGAAGAAGAGACAAAATAATGAGATAGGGTTTAAGCTTTAAGTTTTTAATTATATGGGTTGGTTGGGTTGGGCTTGGGCCTATTTTTTCTTTTCTTCTTTTCAATCTTCCTAATTTTTTTTTTTTTACTTGACCTAAATCATCTATCCCTTTAAAAAAAAATTTATCAAATTTTTGTGTCTGCATGTGCAGACACAAGCAACAACACCGGTCCGCCTCTGTATATAAGTGAGAGAGAATATTAACAAAATCAAAATAATAATTTGAATATGTTATCAAATAGTTATTTTTACTCATAATTAAAATTAGTTAATGCGTTTTTGAAATTTTTGTAAATTACCTTAGTTGATAGAAAAAAAGGAACGAAAGAAATATTAAAAAAACTCATCTATAAGAATTCAGGCTGCCAATTCTACAATGAAGAGGAAAAGGAGTTCTTTTTTTGATAAGGAACTTAGGCTTATATTATTTATTTTTCTGTTGATTTAAATGGCAAATTGACTACTGCTAAATAACGGCACGCCTTACGTGAATCTAAGCTCTATGGAACACGTGATTACAAACCAAAATTTATTATGGATCACTAACTGGATGTTAATCAATTACTCGGCTAACATGTTTTGACCAACCCAAATAAAAACATTCTTTCACATTGGTAATGAGTATAAAAGGATCGACAAATCATACTAACGCATATTATTTTATGAATCCTCATCATATAATCTCTTTCGGAACCATGACATCATGTAAAATTCTTGAATAGTTACTTTGCCAACTGTTTATGGCCACCGTTGCCATCGAATAGGAAGAAATTCGGGCTACAATTCTACGTTACTTTTTCAAGTACTTTTAATAATATTAGTCTAAAGTCAATCAAATGTGAGGATTCAAATTTTAGACAATATTTAAACAGTAGACTATTGGTAGCATTTGGTCTCCCCAAAAAAAAAAAAAAAAAAAAAACCTTATAAACGTGAAAAAGGCATTATGAGTTGGTCTAATTTACTATTATGTGAAAATAATATTAATCTATATTTATTTATTTTCTGAGAATACATACAAAATATTAAAAAAAAAAACAAAATAGGATGGTACCTTCGGAAGGAAGAGAATCATGCAAAGAATCTGATGGTAATACTCACTTTCAACCTCCCACAAATACAAGTACCTTATTATACGATCGGTTAATTTTTTTTGGAAATATTCCAATCGGTTCATTGCTTCGCAACTAATTCGATTCGGAGCGGGTCCAGAATTAAGACTTTAAACCCCTTCCAAAGGTGGTACTGGAAAAATTCAAACACATGCTCTCACCCCCACCTGCTTAGCTGCCATGCGCCAACTGAGCTACCACCATTTGGTTACGATCGGTTAATTGATTTTATCTAACATCCAATCCTATCATATTTTCAAAATGGGTTACAGGACAACGATAAAATCGCAATCTTACCGACTATTTCACCGAAGAATAAGACTTCAAAATTTTCCATTATAAGCCGAAGTAGAAGGCTGCATTATTAAGCCACTAGGCTGCATTAATTAAGCCACTATGTATGGTTTAGTGGTGAGGGATTTGAGTAAGTTATATTAGGTCATGTGATCAATTCTTACTTATATTTAAAAAAGAAAAAAAGAAAAAGAAAAGGCAGCTGCATTAATTACAATAACAAGCTAGTTGATAAAAATTATTGCTGAATACTGAGATTATCATAAACATACTACAAAGAATCTACCAAAGCTTTTACGACACAAAAACCATGACTAGTTCTAGCAATTAATGTACACCCTCGATTATGCTCGTGTTCAAGAGGTAAAGGTACAGAAAAGAAATAAGGGGGGAAAAAAGTGCCCAAAAGGTTATGTTAGAAAAGATATTATACCACGTTCATTTATGTTGCAGCCATGGCAAGAAATGGCAGCTAGCCAGATTCTAAATAAATTAGACCCCATTCTGTGGCCAAAATGGCTATCCAGATTGCTCTAGATCAGTTCAAAGAAAGATGACCTACCCATATTTTGCACCTTCCTTAGCCATAAGTCAGAAAACTAAGCAATCCAAGATATAGAAGAAGCTGCTGGGATTTGCACAAAAATAAATTAAGCGTTAGAACCATCAAAACTGCCCTGCTGCACACTTTGTCTTCTTTTTTCTCTCAAGTTCTCTCCCCACATCTTGGCTTCAGCCACGGCACGTTCTCTATCAAGATCTCTGTTTAACATCCTCGCAGTTTCTCGTGGGGAGTCATCTTTCTCGGATCCTTCCAAATCCCATCTGCGTCCAGATCCTGCAGCTTCATCATTTTTCATTATTCTTCCACCTTTATCATCTCTGTTCCTTTTATCATTCCCAGCATTGTTAGGGTCATATGCCTGGTTGACCAGATAAGAGAGGGCTGTCACCACATCTCCAATCATAGGACGTGTAGCAGCTGATTCTTGAATGCACATTGATGCCACAGCTAGAGCCTGGTAAAGACCCCTCATGGGAAATCGCCCCTGCAGCCTTGGATCAGCCAACTTTGAAAATTTCCTGCGGTCATTAAACAGTGGACGTGCCTGCTCAAACATATAAAACCACCATTACCTCTCCATTTTTATGTACTAGAGACTACGCATGCCAAACCAAATAAAATGACAATAAGAATAGAGGACAACCCATTTGACAAGGTTTTGTTCTCCATGGGGCTGGGTGCTATCGATTGCTTTACGGCCAGTAACCAGCTCTAAGAAGACCACCCCAAAACTATATACATCTGACTTTGCAGTCAGTTGTCCGGTCATAGCATACTCAGGAGCACAATAACCATAAGTTCCCATCACACGGGTAGAAACGTGTGATTTGTCACCAACAGGACCAAGCTTTGCAAGACCAAAGTCAGAAAGCTTTGGGTGGTATCCTTCACCAAGTAATATATTAGATGATTTGAAGTCTCTATAAATGACAGGAGGATTTGCCTCATCATGCAGGTATTCTAATCCTTTAGCAGCACCAGCAGCTACTTTCATCCTAGTGTTCCAATCTAGTGGTTCCTTATCAGGGGGAAGATCTGCACAGAAGTCAATAAACAATGATTCAACATTAGTTGTTATTATGACAATTGCATTTTGTGAAGAAAGCAGTAGTGTAACAGTAACAGACATGACATTTATTCTATAACTCTTCCCAAAGTTTAGAGATGCTCCTCGTCAGTCATCAGAACACAAAAAAATATGCACCAGGTAAAAAGAAAACAACTCCTAGCAAACTCAGCAGTTACTTCAATGCTTATCATATATGGCAATCCTTTCCATGATTTGGAATCATGGAAGCCTTTCTCTCTTGAAAGAGCTATAATATGGAGCACTGGATAGGTTCAGATTCTTCTGAATGCATTACCCCAGCCTTTGTTGTTCTAATCTATGGTGAGGAAGCTTCATAGTCATTAGATACTAAGTACGGTATACTACTTTATGGTCAATGGATATACTACCGGTACCTCCATTTTATCTTATTTCAACAAAGAAATTCAGTTAATCTTGGGTTCTACATCCTATGGATGCCCTTCATTTCAAATTCTATTCACATCCTGCATACATCTCTTGTGAATGAATGGGCAAACTAGAAGAAGGCTAAAACAACATCTTAACTACGACCTTGCTATATATAGTCTCATTTTTAAAAAAGAATAAAGAAAAAATAAAACCCGTTATCTCATAGTTTTAACATGTTTTTTGGCATCCTAAATTGCATATACTGGTTTAAGATACAGTTTTGAGTAAAGGAAAAGAAATCCTTCATTTAATGTGAATTTTTTTTTTTTTTTTTGAATTCAAGTTTATGGAACTTCAGACAGAGCTCTGGGCATTCCTATTTTAAATCCATCAGGCCTGTTATGTATTTTATCTATAAAAATGCCTAGCTTGAAGCCTGAAAGCTCAGCCCCAGTCACCTCTACTTAATTGTGTTATACTAGGTGGAACAACTGCACACTTGTACGAAAATACCTACTTTAAATTCATTTTGTAGCTACCGCTTAATTGATGCTACCATGCTATGCCCAAGAAGAAGACATTTAAAAGTAAAAGTCGTGATAGCTGATGATGATTTTATTGAGGAAGCTGCAATCTCAATTTATATTCATGCCATCTTATCGCACAGAATTTTATAGCTTCTATGCAACTCACCCAAAATCATTATGGTAAGAAATTTGAATAACAACGTGGGTCCCAAGCAAAAAGTATGGAAATGGAAGTACATAACGAGATAAGAAGGAATCTTGAAAATAATGAAATAGCAAATTCAGGAACTCTTAACTGCTATAAATTATAATCATATGCATTGGAGGCAAAACATGGAACATAAAAATTAAAAGCACATAATGTACTGAGCATTGGCGTTCCCGTGCAAGGGCAAAACACCCACAGATAACGGTTTGTCATAGGTTCAAGACAGTTAAAATCACAAAAAGTAGAAATTTGTAATCACTTTTAAGTAGATATGTGAGAAAAGAACAAACAACATGCATTTTAGAGAATACAAGAACTTAGACAATGTTAACCAGCAAAAGCAGCTCACTCGCTAACTAGAAATGTGATTCTACAAGAGAAAGTCCAGTGTGTCCTAGAATACAATGACCGACCACTATCAGAATTTAACTTTATTTCGGTATTTTCTGTGCAGTACTCAATTATATTCCTAATTTCCTATGAATCCCAAAACACATAGTAGTAATTTAAATGTTACCATCATTTCACCAGGGATGTTAGATCATGCAACATCTGACACTAAGCCTTGACTCAGAAATGCTAAACTTATAATAAGCTCCAATATTGTCCTTTCTTGCATTAGTACTGCATAAGACTACACAATTACTGTTGAGACTTTAATTTTTTAAAATGCATTAGCAACTGGTTTTGGTGTTCAAGATATTTCAAAAAGAGAATAATAATTCCTGATTTCCTAATTTCTGAGAAACGTTAACCAAAAATAAATTCTAATCATACAATTAGGAATGAGGTGTAACACAACCATACCGTGAAGGTGATCTTCCAATGATCCCAATGGCATAAAATCATAAACGAGGAGGCGTTGATCCCCATCCGCACAGTATCCAATGAGGTTCACAAGGTTTGGATGATGTAGAAGACTGAGCATGAGAACCTCTACAAGGAATTCTCGATTACCCTGAAGACCATTTTTGTCCAATTGTTTAACAGCAACTATCTGTACACAGCTAAATGAACAAATATTAGGACTCACTAGTCATTAGAGGCCTCAACCATACCAATTACCAAATCTCTTGAGCTTTTAAAATTCAGTATTACCTTCTTCCTTTAAAAAAGAGTGTTGCTGTTCTGACACCAGTTTTTTGGTGTAAAAGTTACAGCATTTCAATCCCTGCACAAGGGACCTACTAAAATGTGGGGACCCTGTGCAGGGAACCATATGCAAGGCAATTTGGCAAAAAAGAAAAAGAAAAAAAGAAACATGAAGAGATGGGCCAACATTGTAAGATATCTGATCGAGAAGAAACATGAATTTTAATGTATGAACTAACATGTCCTATTATTTCTTTATCATCCTCCTAGGTAAGTGCAACAGCTAAATGTACACATGAAGTATTTTGCAGCCCATAATAATAACTATATCAGATTTAAACAAGACGATTCAACATTTGCAGGATAGTTATGGAATTAAGCTTGTAAAAAATAATCATAAGAACCATAATTTTTCTTTTTCTTTTTCCCTACTTTGCAGCTATATCAAGTGATGATAAATGTAGCATCAACCAGGCCTTATCCCTCTCGGCCGGGGTATATGGTAATATGGCTCCATCGCTGTTGATGTGTATTACATTGTTGTTCCATGTCTTAAAAGATCAAACAATATCTCATGTTGACAGCTGACTACCTAACACAATCATCTCATTTTCCTAGACCTAGGATTTGCTTTTGCACTTGGTTGATAATTTTAGAACAATGCTTTTATCATTACATGCAATTGATGATAAAAGCATTATGAAGTTATGGAACAACAGCAAAAGGAAATCGTTGGTCTAGACTAGGAAGAGGAGAGCGAGCAATCCTAGGAGAGATTGCGTAAGCAACTAAGGGATAAAATCTGAGATAAGCATATTTTTTTTTTTTTTTTTTTTTTTGAGGGTGCAAAAGGAACCAGTCCAACAAAGCATCGTATTCTTTCATTCTTGTTACAAGAGTAGAAGCATAATACCACGTTAATAAAGAATAGAAAGATTGTACCTGACCCGTGCTTTCCAGCCTTCCTTTGTACACCCTTCCAAAACCACCTTCCCCTACAAAGGACTCTGGTCTAAAGTTTTTTGTTGCAGCTGCAAGTTCACGGAAAGTAAAAGTTTGAGCAGCAATTTGGACAGCGGGTCCATCCTTGAGAGGGGGCAGTTCCCTTTTGGAACCTCCATTACTTCTGGACCGTAACTTGTCTGCTCCTGCAATACAAAATTCACCAACACAAAGAATTGAGAATCAATAAGTATTCCAGAACTCCTGACAGAGACAGAGCACCTTGAATTCAACAGAAGCTCATTCAATTAGGAGGAGGCATGATTAACTTTGTTCACCAAATAGGTTTGCTAATTGTAACTTACACTTAATTTAGGCATGTCTTAGGTATGCAAATAGACAGCTTCAATTGTGAGCATAACTAAATAGCTAGAAAGCCATTTGGTACCCTGAATCCCAGGTATTGATATATGGAGATTCCATTTCATTTTTGTAAAGATAGAGTTTGACGGATAAATCAAGATGAGATGGAAATATAAATAAATGAATACATACTACTAACCAGAGGGCAATCTGGAAATATGAGAAGGGAGGGTTGGATTGGGTTGGTGCTGGTTACGGTTACGGTTACGGTTACGGTGATCCTGATCCTGATCCTGATTCTGATTCTGATTCTGATCCTGATCCAGCTGAGAATTGAGGTTGTGATCCTGTGTTGAAGTCGAATCGAAACACGAGAAGCAACCCATATATCCGGAATCAAAGAAAAACGAAAGCTTTACGAATGAAATTCAGTTTATATGTCTGCAACTGCAAGACTGTGTTAAGAGTTTACAGAGTAAAAAAAGGAAGTAAAAAAAGCAAGTAATGGTCACTGGTCAGGTCAGGTCAGAGTGGTGATCATTCATGGGACAAACAGATTCTTCTATTAATCGCATCGCAGTCGCACAATCCAAAAGACAGAACCAAACGAATCTAATCTAATCTAAGTCCACCAAACGCCACTAATAATGAAATCCACTACCAAAACAACTTCCGTGGCGCTAGGCTGGGCTGCCACACATTAATACAAATTATTATTATTATTATTATTATTATTATTACCTTTTTATGAGCTGAAAATGCTCCCAATCACCTTCCTCACTGGTCTCTACATACTTGTAAACTACATGAAAAATGAAGGGAGATTAATTCCCTCAAATCAAATGCATCATTTGATATTGGGGTAGCTAAAGCTTAACCTTAATTTTAGTTGGCATGAAAATGCATCCCAAAATATCTTTATCTAATATCTTAATTTTTTTTTATTTTTTTTTATTGATTCGAAAACTTCAGAAACATAACATAATACAACCCCGATTTGAAGGTTTAGGGTTTAGGGTAAATTTCGAGCCCCGATTCAATTGAGTAATATGAAAATGCAAAGGTATCACAAGACACGCGAGAGAAGAAAGCGACATGAAAAATGGCGGGATTGGCGGAAGCAACGAAGGAGGTGTGTGTGACAGTTTCAAGGAGAAAAGTACAATAAATAATGTATGAAGGGAAGGGGTTGTAATTGAAACATAAATAGAAGTTGCAACTGCAATTTATTTATTTATTTTCTTTTTTGGTGTACACTCAAACTCAGCATTCTGATTCTAAAAATTTATTTATGATTGTGATTTCCAGGTCGATGACTGCGGCACTGTCCCTGTCACTATGCTTAGTGCCCTGCCCAATTTTTTTTATTTTTTTTTACAAAAGCGAGAATTCAACACATAATTTAATACAACTTATTTAAATCTCTTATCACTATATTATTACCTATTTAATATTTCTCGCCCTCATAATACTATCATTTTCTTTACAAAAAAAAAATTGTAGAGCAGTCAGAAAATTTAATATCAAAAATATATTTATTAATTTTTCAAATGAATGAGTAATTTTTATTTTTTTTATTCAATCTATTAATCATCTTTTAAAGCTGGCTCTAAATTATTTGAGACTGTATCTTCTCATGTGTTAATTAACTTGATTATTAAGGGAAGAGGGAGAAAATTATTAGGATAGATAGTTATAAAATTATGATAGTTAATTCACTTTTATATAATTGTAATTTATCCATATGAATGAATTAAAAAAATGAGAATATCCATTTCCAAAATCTTTTAGTTAATTGTTTTTTTGGACGGTTTAGCTTTACTCTGTTTATTTTGTAATTATACTGCACTATGAAAGAATAATATAATGCTGCCTTATTCGTTCCTTCTTATATCAAGTTGCCCCGGTAGGAAATAGTCGTGAAATTTGAGTTTTTATTCAAAAACATTTAACTTCTTAATTGATATAACTATCATCGATCTATGTATATTTTAGATTAAATTTTTAAAATAATTTAAATTATTAGATGTACTATTGCCGAGATATGTCAAATTTTCTCTACCTATGGAGGCAGGTGTTGGACTTGCTAACATATATGCAAGAAATGCGTAAATATATCATCCACAAGTAATATAGGGCATATTTAATATCTTAGTTATCGTTCCCGCAAAGATCTTGACAATGTGAGTTAATTGCAAAAATTGTAAATGCTAAACTGAATAAAAAATAAAAATTATCCACGAGAGGAACAAAAAAGAAAAATAACAGAAATGTAACATATAAACTTCTTTTTGGATTTTTCTAAGTACTTGTGAACTGTTGATTTATGTGTACAGAAAATAAAGATACAAAAATAACTTCAATCTAAAATTTCTTTTTACCTTTTTGGACTATTCTATATGTTCATTTTAAAATGCAATAAGGAAAATTTTTAGAGGATTAAAATCAGAAACAACAAGAGATAAGATTGGGTAAGAAATAAAGTTGAGCTTTCAGTTTACTCTTCCCACAGCATTGAAAGAAATACTAATTACAAATTGCTCAATTCAAATTCCCAGTTAGCGGATCACTTTTGTTGATTTTAATCTCTTAAAATCATTTTATCCAAAACTTCCATTCACACATCTCTGCGCTAAATGCAGTGAGGACTCCTATATTTTAAGTCCAAAGTTACATGGTAGATGCTCTCATTTCTAAGTGACAACCCTTGAATGATCTCTTATTCAAGCACATATGCATGTGCTTAATGCATTTTCCAAAAGGAGCTACCTCTCGATTACTTCTTCCTAATTAAACATCTAACATCAGGCCTAAATGCAAAATGTTTAAACAACAAGTTCGGCATTAAACAACTGAGAATTCAAATTTAACAACAGTAATTAATTAGCAAGCATTCCACACTGAGGTTCGGGTAACCTAGACCCAACCTTCAAAGATTTAGCTCATACCATAAAGGTTGAACTACAAAAATAGAAAACGAAAATTAAAAAGAAATTACAACTCAACTAAAAATTACGGTGCAGAAGCTATAACCACAAAATAGCTCTGCTACAATGCTCTGAAACAAAATTAAAAACTACTCAACAAAATAAAATTGTTAAAAGAAAAGAAAAGAAGAAGACCAGAAAGAAGACGAAGGACCACCTTGCATGGTGCTAATTTCTCCATTTATAGTGCGCCTTCTACACACACATGGGCTTTGGGCTGTTTGTTAGCATACACGCGCACTCCTCTTGCAAAAATCGTGTGACCCCTTTTCGCACAATCACCTCCACGGTTTTGCCACCCAAAATCTGTTTGCACATCCACTGCATGTAACAACTTCACCAAAAATGACAGCTAAGACCTTGGTTCCTTCTCACACGATTTGGGTTAAGTCACGAGTTAGGAAAAATTATATGGTAAAAGAAAACAATATGATATTTGGTTTGGTGGCTCATGGGTTCAACGAAATTTGAGGTCATGTGTGGTTATGGCTTGATGTAATGGGTGGATTTGGTGATGTGTAGTTGAGATGAGAGAGGGTTAGAGTTCAAAGAGGGGTATAAAAATAGAATTGGGATCGTGACTACCCTACTGCCCTTCTTGTTTAGTTACTGCTGTCTGATATTTTTTTTGCCATGCTGTCTAATTTGACTTCTTTTGGACTTGACCTTTTGTGCCTTTAAAATTTTGAAATAGAAACCAAATATAAGTTCATAACCCACTTTAAATCTCAACAAACTAAAAATAGGATATACAGTAGGGGTGTGCAAAAAAACTGGTTCACTTGTCCTGCCCTTGATCTTACCTTGACCCGACCCATAAATACCCATATTTTTTGAACTGGTTTAAATACTGACCCACTTTTATTTGGGTCAGTTTTAGACCTAACTCGTTTTAATATTGACCTACTGACCCGAAACTTGACCCATACCCATTATATGAAAAAAAAAATCACAATTACATTAAAAGAAAACTTTTAACGTAAAACAATTACGTCAAAATTTTTTATGGAAAATATTTTCATAAAAATTTTCGCAAAATTTTTTGACGAAAAATATTTTCATCAAAATTTGTGACTAAAAACATATCGGTAAAAAAATTAAACGGAAAACATATCGTCAAAATATTTCACAAAAATATATATTCATAAAAACTTTCGACGAAACACATTTTCATCGAAATTCTTTGACGGAAAAAAATTTCATCAAAATTCTTTAAAGATTTCAAATTTCGGCGAAAGTTTTCGATGGAAACATTTTCGTTAAACTTTTTGACAAAAAAAATTTTGTCGAAATTTTTAGCGAAACACATTTCTATCAAAAAATTTCGACTAAATATTTTCGTCAAGTTTTTTGATAAAGAATATATCCATCAAAATTTTCAACGGAACACATTTCTGTAAAAAAATTCGTAAAATTTTTTGACAAAAATATTTTGTCTAAATTCTTTAGAGAATCTAAATTTCGTCGAAAGTTTCAAATGAAACATTTTCCTCAAAACAATTTCCTTTGAAAATTTCGACGAAACACATTTCTATCAAAAAAATTTGACGGCAAAAAATTTCATTAAAATTCTTTACAGATTTCAAATTTCGGCGAAAGTTTTCGATGAAAATATTTTCGTCATCAAAATATTTTGACGGCAAAAAATTTCATCAAAATTCTTTACAGATTTCAAATTTTGGCGAAAGTTTTCGACGGAAACATTTTCGTCATCAAAAAATTTTGACTGTAAAAAATATCGACGGCAAAAAATTTCATCAAAATTCTTTACAGATTTCAAATTTCGGCGAAAGTTTTCGACGGAAATATTTTCGTCAAAAAATTTTGACGGCAAAAAAATTCATCAAAATTCTTTACAAATTTCAAATTTCAGCGAAAGTTTTCGATGGAAACATTTTTGTCATCAAAAAATTTTGACGGCAAAAAAATTCATCAAAATTCTTTACAGATTTCAAATTTCGGCGAAAGTTTTCGACGAAAAAATTTTCGTTAAATTTTTTGACAAAAAAAAAAATTTCGTCGAAATTTTTAGCGAAATACATTTTCATCGAAAATTTTCAACTAAATATTTTCGTCAAGTTTTTTGATAAAAAATGTTCATCAAAATTTTCAACGGAACACATTTCTATAAAAAAATTCCGTAAATGTTTTTGACATAAAAACCATTTTGACGAAAAAAATATTCTGTCAAAATTCTTTAGAGAATCTAAATTTTATCGAAAGTTTCAAATGAAACATTTCCCTCGAAATAATTTCCGTCAAAATTTTCGTCAGAACACATTCCCATCGAAATTTTGAACGAAAAACATTCCGTCAAATTTTTTGACAAAATTCTTTTTTCGTTTAAAACATTTGATGGAAGAAATCATTTTCGTCAAAACTGTTGACGGAAACTAAATTTCAATAGATACTTTTTTTTTGTAAAAATTTCGACGAAAAAATAATTTTGTGACGAAATTTTCGTCTTTTGCAAAGTAAAAATTTCGACAAATTTTTTTTGAGAAAACCAAGTCGAAAACGGGTCAGGTCAGATTTGACCCAGTTCAGAAATCAAGTCAGACCCACTTCAGAAACCAAGTCAGGTCAGATCCAAACTGGTTCTAAACTAGTTCAAAAAAATCCAATCCAAGTCAGACCTGACTTGG